CGGGGGAACCAGAGAGTTGTTATTCTTCTCAGGGGAGAGAGGAAGAGCTCATTCTCCTTTCCTGGAAAGAGAAACCAAGTTCTCAAAGTTAAGGTGGCTGTTTGCTTCTTTTCAGGGCTGTTCAGAGAAAGCTAATGATGGCAGCTGTGGGGGCAAGAGGTGGGGGTGGGATTTGGCTTCATTAATCCATGTGTGATCCCAGGTGTTCACCTAGACCCACCGACTATTTCATCCATGTCCTCACCCACACTCTCACGCATCCTTCTACCCACTCACCTGTTTACCCATCTTTTTGTATATCTTTCCAGGACATACAAACCCTGTCTACCCGCTCTCTAGCCATTATGCAGTACTGTGCATCTAGCCCTAGGTTCACCCATTCATCCAACCGCATTCTTTCATGGATGCTTCCATCCAGCCTTATAGTCTTCCAGCCCTTCCCATGTAACTTATCCATCTTTCCATCTTCCATCTTTCCATCTTCGCTAAATTTCTCCATACTCATTCATCCCTGGTCACTTTCTCCATCTACTCACTTATACATCTGTACTGAACATATCCATTCATCATCCATCCATCCTTTCGCCATATACCCATTTCCACTCATCATTTTATCATTTGCTCTACCCACACACTCATCCTTTCTTACTCGGATGTACACGCTTATCTATGTTTGTTTACAAAATTGGCAACTATCTTCACTGCTTTCTTGTTCAGGCTACTATACCAGAACACCATAGACTGAATAACTTAAACAAAACAAAGCTATTTCTCACAGTTCAGGAAATGGGGAGTCTGAGACCAGGCTGCCATCATGGTGGGGAATCTGGCAAGGACTCTTTTCTGGCTGGTAGGTGTCTGTCTGCTTTCCTCCAATAAGGGGGTGGGGGTGGGAGAAGAGGAGTAAGCTTTCTTTCTTTCTTTTTTTTTAAGGTTTATTTATTTATGCACACAGAACTGGGGTACAGGCCAGAGGTGCAGGGGCAGTGAGAGGATTCACCAGAGACAGATTGGAGAACAGAACAGGCAGGTTGATGAAGTAAACAGCTGAGGGGAGCACTGGGTAGGTGGGACAGGAGAGGTCTGCTGCACCATGTGAGTCACCTCCAGGGCCCGGGATTGAACTAGCACTGAAGCGGCTGAGGCTTGCTTACAGTGCTGCTCTCTAAGCCATTTGAGAGTCCTTCTTATAAAGGCACTAATTCCATTCATGAGGGCTCCACCCTCATGACCTAATTGCCTCCCAAAGGCCCAGCCTCTGGTCACATGTCAACATGTGAATTGGGGAGGGGGAGAAGGGGAAACAAGCATTCCCCACACACCAGCCACTAGTCTTGCAAGACCCACGTGGTTTTGAATCGGAAAGCACTGACTTGATAGAGGGTGCTACTCTCACATTTGCAGCGTGTGCAGGGACCTGCTCCCCAAACTCTAAACAGCTAGCATTCCATGATTCTAGGCATTTCCCTTCGGAGATGAAAACACTGTTTCTGGGTCCCTCCTGAAGAGCAGGTACATTAAAAAAATATATACTTTAGAAGTAGCTGATCTGACCTTGTTGCTGTGTGCGACGAAGAGGACACTAAAATCTGGTAGCAAACAGGCTCCCAAGCAGATCTTCAAGCACTAACCACCTGCCGAGGGACCAGTCCTGGTGGTTCCATGAAAAGAACAGCAGAGAAACAGGTAGACACCTCATGTCATCACCCCGGCTTTCAGCTTCCCTTTGTTGGAAGATGGGAGTGAAGCAAATAGGTATTGACTAGAAACAATGTTTGTCTTTCTGTGTATCCTGGAACCTGGAGACTCCTTGGAGGGAACAGAAACAGGAGTCAAAGCAAAGGCTTCAGCATGCATCATCTCCTTCTAGGCTGTCCCCATCTCCCCCCTCCCCCACAGAGGTTCCACTCACATTCATTTTGTCTAATAAAGTACCACAAGAGATTTTACTTTTAAATCTGTAAAAACCACTAGGTCATCTTGAGCCCCAATCTCTTCTGCATTTGCTCAGCTAAACAACTAGCAAAAGAAGACTATTAAAGTACCTTGTAAACTATAGAGAGGTATGCAAATTCTAAGGATTATAGTTAGCATTATTGTCCCAGGAGAGAATATTTTGGTTACTTGCTTCTTGATAGTTAAGAGAGGGATGAAGGGTACTTGCCCCCTGCCACTAATGAGTCATCTCAGATAACTGACCTGGTGACTTAGTTAGTCAGGGATGGACATTGGGCATTCTGGATCACCTTTCTGTGCTTGCTCATCTGGTCCATGTTCTACTCCAAACACCCCCACCCACACCACTGGTTTCACAGAGACTTCCTCATGCTCTTTTTTGAGTTTCTATAAAAAATAAATTCTTAAAATTCTTACCAATTGTAGATGTTTGGTATCTTGTTGTATATTACACCCAGTACCTTCTGAGTCAAGCCATGAGATGTGGGAAACTGAAAAAGAAAGCTTGAATTGGTCCAGATTGACATGAGATCACGGTATTTGGAAAGCCTCCATGATGCAGTCAGCAGCCTTGGCTGAGAAATGCAAGGTTCTCCTCTTATGAGCAGGGCGACCAATTCAGGTCACTTGACCTCTAAGAGTTTTGGTTATACCATCCACAAAAGGGGTTAATAAGACAGTTCTCACAGTCTACAGTAAGGCCCTAAGACCCTTGATAAGACAGTTCTCACAGTCTACAGTAAGGCCCTAAGACCCTTGATACGTCTGCCTGCCTCGTGGTAGGAATTAATGACCAATCAACCTAAGTCACTTAAGGACAGGGCCATGCATGACTTAGGCAAGAGAACACACTCCACTCTAGTGTAGGACAATTCCCCATGTCTCTATGCACCATGCCTAATAAATCAGCATTACATCAGTGCAAGAAGGCTGTTGTTCTTTTTCCTCCCCCACATGATTAAGAAGCCTTCAGAAATCTCATGAACCCATGGGTAGAAACATCTAGACAAACTTGACACTTTCTAGACAAAAGAAAGCTCAAGTGTCCCATCAGGCTGACTGCTTTTCCAAAATGGAGTTCATGCTGTCAGACTAGGGTTTGTGTTTTTTTTTTTTATTTTATAACAGTTTATTTTTATACCATTTTGTACATTTTTTTTTCCATCTCAATTGTAATCCTCGAGGGTTTCCCATCACCAAGTCACCCGTGTGCCATCACCATAATCCCGTGCACTTCCCTCCCCACCCCCCCCCCGTTTTTGATCCCATTCCCCACTCCACCCCCACAAAATGTCTCTAGTATATGGTTGTTCATTATTCTTGTTATTTTCTTGCCTGGTCCATTATACTCCTGCTATGAGTGAAACCATCCGGTATTTTTCTTTCTCTTTCTGGCTTATCTCACTAAGCATGATCTTTTCCAGCTCCATCCAAGTTGCTGCAAAAGACATGTGTTTCTCTTTTTTGGTTGCTGAGTAATATTCCATTGTATATATATATGCTACATCTTTTTTATCCAGTCATCTACTTTTGGGCATTTGGGCTGCTTCCATGTTTTTCTAATTGTAAATAAAGCAGCAATAAACATGGGGTGCAGGTATCTTTTGGGGTTTGTATATTTTTTTATCCTAAAATATTGGGACCTGCTGGCTTCTGACTAGTCATCACACTTTTCCCTTGTAAGCAAAATAAAGTAAAATCTAAACCAAATGAGAGCAGGAGTGTGAGGCAAGACCAAAAGACCTGGGACTGAATCACGGGATTTGAGGATTACAAACACAGTGGTCCATTGAACTCTTTTAAAGGGAAACTTTCCATCCCTGCACAGGGCTGCTTCCTGGAGCAAGAGCCCTCTGGCAAGGTAAAGAAAAAGTGCCATTCCAGTTTCACATGCACTCCCAAAATCCGTTCTTGGTTCACTCTCACAGTGTTTTGTGAAATAATTATTAGTGAAGTTTAAGTAAACCGGTCATTTGGAAAGCAATCTTCATGATAAGTTAATGACGTTGAATGACTAATTAGTCTACAGCTCACCAAGTGCGATTACAGAACTGAGCCTGTGGGCTTCCAAATGATGGCAAAGTCGTCACTGTGGCGGCCCTGCCCGGGAAACACCCAGGGGATAAGGTACCTCTAGACTGTTCCTACGTCCACATCAGTTTCAAGGCGGTTTTCAACAGAACTTTGGACTGTACAATAATACGTCTGCTGGACCAAATTCCACAATTTAACAATAAGTGTTTTAGAAATGTGAACTTTTGCAAATGAAATTTGTTTGAATTCTGTGACTTTGTGTACAGAGGGAGGACCTAAAAGAAGAGAAGCTAGTCACAGGAGGGAAGACAAAAGCTAGCGTGGCACTGTTACTTACAATATAAGTAGTTGCATTACTTCTCAGTACATGTTACAGCTAAACATTTTCATTTCTTCTTCTCTTCTCCAATTCCAACAAGTTTTTATTTAAATATTAGGGAGTTTTAAAGGCTCTCCATAAATGAACA